TATATATATATATATATATATATATATATATATATATATGCGTTATATACCTCGCGCCTGCCAAGTTTCGCGAAACGAGCGTCGCGGATCCGTCCATTCACGAACAACTTAGTGAGACATGTATATGCATATTGCATACATATATATATACACGGCGGGCACGAATGCACGGGGACGGTGATGTACGTCGGTTCTCCGAACGGTATTGATCGTCGCCGATTATTCAGCGGCATACAATCGCCACTGACAGACGTTAAGATTTAAATGGCAAGGCCACGTGCCGCGCCGTTGTTTGAATTTCTAAACATTCCGCGAGACGCGCACGAACTTGGACGCATAACATCGTTCGACAATGGGGGCGCTTCCTTGTCCCCCCTCCCTCCCCCTCTTCTCCACCTATATCGACTGAATTAATCGCTAATAACGAGAAAGATCTTATCACTTGCGCACAGCTTGATAAAAGATAAAACAAACGTACTTCTACGAAAATATTTTTCCATATAGTAAATGATCTGTGATACTTCCTTACTTCGATCAAATTGTGTAAACACAATGATCGTGCTATGTATCGTAAATATTACGAAGGTTAATGGGGCTTGGCGAAACAAATAGCTTTAAACGATAAGCTTATCTATGTTCTGAAATGCTTGGCATTTCGGAGAGATTTGGATAAACTGCAATAAGCTATGACATCGATACTTCGTTTCCTAACCGTTACATATATCGTTTTTTTTTTTAATTTAATTAAGAATTAACGGCTTAGATACAATGAAAGGAGAATAAGGAAGATTTCAATCTCTACTGGAAATCAAATACACCAGAATACATGGTTTCTGGTAGATTGAAATCTGTTATTTCTTGTTCCTTACTCCTTATTCTCATCATTGTGTCTGAACCCTACACACAGAAAAATAACATTCTAATGCTAAGAAAAGTGACTACTTAATTTACTTTCTTCCTTTTAAATAACGGTTATCTCGAACAAAGAATATCTTCTTGACAATGGTTTTCAAATATACTTATTACAAATTTTAGAAAATTAAAAAAAAAATAAAAACTTGAAAAATTTTAGAAAACTTATTATTCAAAACAAGAATTTATTTTCTTTTGAAGAATATTATAAAATTGCTCGAAGAAGCGATTTTATATAATATACAAAATTTCGAATTTATTTTAATTTAATAATCTTGAACAAAGTAGTAAACTCTTGACTGAAATTCAGAAAATATTTTAAATAAATAAATTAGATGCTTATAATGTTACGATAGATTTACGGATACGAATTTTTGAAATATTTTTAATAATTATTATTTGCATATACAGGATGTATTTTCTGTATGTAATCTATATCAATGCATGGATACGCATATCAAATTTTAAATAATAAAAATTGTGTATTTTCGTGTGAATTTTTCCATATAGATGGAAAGAAAAAATTCTATTCTTCGAACAATAAAAAATAGTTTTCCACAGATATTTTTATGGCTTCACTTTTTGCGGGAACCTTGTTAAACACGAAAAGGTGAAAAGTAGACATAAATTAACATCGATCATTCGGTGCATTTCCGGTGGTTCGAAACGCAACCATTTTGGCATTCTGTTCGAAAAGTGACGTGGCGGAATAAAAAAAAAAGGCGGGAAGGGACTACTATCGTCGGCATGGATAAAAGAAGAGCGACGAGACGAATTAGCCGTTTCGCAGAACGGTGACCGGTCTCTTCAAGGTTGGGACCGAGAGAGAGTCATCGGTCTCGGCCGTGTAATGCAGAAGAATATAACGCGTCTTTATTTATGAGTCGTGCGCGCGCGCGCGCGAGCAACGCGACGGTGTCGTGTAGCATCGTATCGTGTGATAGAAATCGTAATCGTAAAATAAACACTATTTCGTCGCGGTAGTTGAGAACGGCGACGGATAGTAGAGAAAACGGGGAGGAGAAAAAGGAAACAAAAAAAGTACGGAGCCATAACGACCGCGACCTACGACAGGTTCGGGGAAAAGGGAAGGGGGAACCCCCGGATATCTCCCGCCCGGTCCACGTCGCACGCACGCGCGAGCGCGCGAAATGAAATTCGTACGTAAATTGATTTAATTGCTCTATCGTAGCCGGTATCAAGTTTCCCGCAGCGTGCATCGCGTTAACAGTCGTGCCAATGAACTGTCAGTGGCGCTATAATCGCCCGCGACTCCACCTAACCGGAATATACGAAAGAAGAGGTTTAAAGGAAAAGAAAGAAAAAGAAAAATGACGCCAAGTATTGGCGTTGCAACGCGATTTTGAAAAAAACTGCCGGAGAGACTCGAGTCGTCCATCGTTGCCTTCCTCACAGTTACCTGTTTCTACTAATGCAGTTTAATTTTAATTTCTCGGTTCAACTACCTCTTCGTCTTTTTCCAGATTTAAGAATTAGAAGAAAATGAAGAGTAAATTGAACTAAAATTAAAGTTAATTTACATTGGTAAAAACGTGTCGTTTAACTGCCGAGAAATATCGATCATGGCTTATTTTTGCCAATGTAGATTAACTAATCTCGTTACAATTTACTCATCTTTTTTTAATTCTTGGAAGTAGAGAGAAGATAAAACAAAAGTAAGTTAGACAAAAATTAGAGTTAAGCTACATTGATATAGAAATGGATGTACGGAACAAATGAAATCAATGCCTTACTCTAAAAAATATCAGTATGCATGAATTTGATATTATGTAATGTCTATAAATCTCACTGGGTTAATATTAACACATAATATGATGCAGATTTAACACCATGGGTTTTAAATCCACATTACGATCGTGTCAATACAAACACCAGGGGTTATAAATCCACCATGTTGGTATTGACACCAACACGATAAGAACTATAGATCCAGCATGGTGTTAAATCCACACCGATAATTTTTAGAGTGTAGATACGCAAACGATCCTTTTTTCATGGATCCCAATTTTATCTGTTTTATTATTTATTCCGTAAATCTCAGGTGTATTCACAGATTCTTGTTTTGAGACCATCTTAAGTAATATGTCTCAAGATATTTTTTGTGCAATAATTTAAACATTACGGAAGAAATTTATAAATTATTTTGAAATAAAATTAGGTAAAAATAAATTAATTATTAACCCTTACCGTACTAATATGGGTAACTAGTGACCGAGCAATTCCTGTTCGTGCAAGTTTCTTTGAGTCTTTCGATAATTATAAATTATACTACATTTTATTTATTTTCCAAAATAAAGAATCAATATTTATTCTAGAAAGTTGAAAGTATGTTGGTGAATTTTTAGAGATTTTTTAAATTATTTCGAAGAGGTGAAAAAACGAAGAGATTTGAAGTGACCCTTGATGGTATGGATGAGGCACCAAATTGTAGATGGTACGGTAAGGGTTAATTAAATAATTTTGTGTAAAATATAGATAAATAGTAGAATATATTAGAAAGAAAAAATTATATTAATTAAATAGGATGGAGAAAATAATAAAGATTTCTTTTAGAATTTACTAATCGATAGAATATTGACTATATTAATACACCTGAATGATCGATATTGATATAGACGCAATTCTTATATTTAATGTTATCTTAAGTACAGTCTAAAGATCAGACGGCTGTGTATTGGCACCTTAAGACATTACTTAAGACAATCTTAAAGATAAGAGAACCATTTATGAATACCGGCCTCAAATCTTGCATACAACAGCCCTGCGCCACGCTGTTAAAGTTAACAAGGACGAATCCTCAGCCGACAGAATGCAGGGATAAAAAGAGGCGCGAAGAGAGACGTAAAATTTCGCACAGAGTGCTAAACACACACTTACCCTGTCGACCGACGATCTCCGCCACGTGTTCGCTGCTGGGCACCGGCACGCACTCGGTCATGTTCTGGCTCTTCTTAGAACGCGCCTCCTCGAAGACAGCTGGGGCGGTCTGTAGCGGATCTGGATCATTGGTGGTGCCGTTGCCGGTACCGGTGCCAGGGCATCCGGACGAGCCCTCCGGGATGCCGAGCATCGACAGCTCGAAGGCGAGCTGAAGGGCGCGCTGATCTTCGAAGGAGACGCCGGCACCGCCGCCGTTCGTGCCGCGATCCATCTCGCTGAATAAACTCGTCGGCATTTCGATCGATTACAAATTCCCGTATATCGTGCGACACCGGACAAGACGTTAACAACGACAATGTCGATGATTGCTGAAATACGTTGCACTAGGGTCTCCGCGCTGTTGAGGGTTCACCGTATATTCACGTCGGTCTTTCCTCTCTCTCTTTCTCTCTTCCGTCGTCTTCTCTCTATCGAACAAACGAGCGGAATTATTCGCGCCGCCTTGACGAGGATCAACTTCCCACCGGTAGGGTCGAGCGTGATGGTCTTTGGCGTCGCGACGCTACGACTATTTTTACGTACGCGTAAAAAAACTGAAAGAGGAATTGGACGCACCGCGCGGAAGATAACGAACGTTGTCGGCTCGGTTTCGAATGATCGTTACCTTTTCCGCTCGCAAGCAAGCGTAATCAGCTCTCCGGTCCCCCCTCGTGGACGTGAAAACGTGGGCCGTGACGACGGCGCGGTGTGTGATAGTAGTCAGTCGCACGTTCCTCTTCGCGCCGGGAGGCACACGCCGGTTCGTGTCTACGTCGTACGTATCGCGCACCGGCTACGAAAATGGCCTTCCCGATATCCCCCACTGTACCTTCCCACCGCCGAACGCGTGTAGTTTGTGCTATGCGGTTGTTCGTGTCGAAGAGCGGTTTCCGTAGTCACTCCACTCTTACGCTCGTTACTCGTACAGTCGCTTGGTCTTTGACCGATGCTTTCGTTCGTTCGTTTCTCCACCTCCACTTCCTTCTCCTCTCCGTCGCGATCCTCTCTCTCTCTCTCTTCGACTACCGACGACCGGGACGACGTGACGACGATTCGTGTCGCGCGTTGTTCGGCTGCCTTGTCACTTCGACCGACTGGAACTGACTCAGCCGTCCAAGAAGTCGATCCGTCGCGCGAGACCGAAACACTGAAAACGAAGGCAAGGGGCGCGCGCGCTTCTAGAGTCTCGTCCGCTTCGTTTCCGCTCTCTCTCCCGCTCGTGAATCGTGATCCTCACCGCCTCTCGCTCCCTCGCTCGCTCTCGCTCTCTCGGTTCTCGCCTCTCTTCTCTCACCGCGATCTTTCCTTTCGAAGGCAGGCGCGTACAACTACCCTCTCGTTCGTGTTACCACTGCGACTGACTGCGACGAACTGCGACTGCGACTGTCGAAGCCGGCGCGCCGCCATGTGCCGGACGCCGGCTATGCGCGCGTCCGATTGGCCGCCCGCGTCACGTGGTACGCACCCACCCCTCCCCACCATCGAACCCGGCGCATAGGCGCTAGCGCACCTACCGGCGCGGCGAAGCGGCACTGCGCCGCAATGTAATGTAACGTTCAACGCAACACGAGGGAGCGAGCCAACTTACCGAGAATGAACGAGCGAGCGAGCGAACGAACAACCGACGCGACGTCGCGTTCGTTCCTCGGCTCCTTCAACGCTACGGATGCGTGCACTCCCGTCCTCGATTGTGTACGCCACGCAACCCCCTCCGTTCGTTCGTTCGTTCGCTCGCTCTGTTCGTTCGTTCGTTCGTTCGTGTATCCGCTCGAGCCTCGGCCTCGGCGAAGTTTCCCCGTGGAAACGCCACCGTTCGTCCCTCCACGCCGGACGCCCGCGCGTTTCACTCGCTCCGATTTCCCGGAGCGGCGAATCCTAGGATTGCGGGACCCGTAGGATTGACTGGAAAATGGAAAAATGCAGCCGTGTCTTTGGCTTGCCGTGGCGTCGACACCGGGGTGCGAATCTCCTAGAGCCGGAGATATCTACGATTCGAAGATGTTTCTCGAACGCTGAGCCGCGCCTCCGAACGATTTGTAGATATACACGGCGATCGCGAATCGATTCTCTCTCTCTCGATTTTCTTATTTTGTCGCAGTACGTCATACGGAATTTTAGAACGTTGAGGCCGGAGCACAGATCTTTGCATAACATAAAATATAAGAAAATTAATCAATCAATCTTTTATTTCATGAAAAGAAAGGAACGAAGGATTCTGATTGATTCATTTTCTTGTGGATTATGAGTTATGCATTATGCATAAACAAATTAAGGACCGGTGTCCTATCACAAATGTAAAATTAATCTCGGTTTAATTTATCTCTTTCTGATTCTTGGAATTGCTTGGATAGAAAAATTTTGCATTTGTGAAACCAATTAAAATCCTTCATTTCCTGCCTTTTCATGAAATAAAAGACTTCAATTGGTCGATTTTTTTAATGCTTTGTGCGTTATGCGTTATGCGAAAATCTCGTTCTCATTACTTCTCGTTACTTCTCATAGTTTAATCTACAAAAATAATTGCAAGTGATTGTAGTTGTAAGAATTGATTATTTATAGCCGAATTTGAGGAGAATATTCTCTCGATCGTAATTTGTTAAATCTTACAACTACACTTATGCAATCATAAACGAGACTTTCCTTATGGAGCTTTCCACATTCAGAGCTCATGTGGGTGTTGAATTCAGGGTATTTAAAAAAGTATGTTAATTTTCGAAAACAAATTTTAAAAAATTTTGAGATTTGACAAAAAACAGTACTTCACTAGGATGTATAGAAATATATCTCGCATATACAACAAAAGAGATAAAATATCCGTTCGAATGAGGCACTCCACATCCAGAAAAGTCAAAAGTCTCCGTTCCTGCATTCAATTGTAGAATAGGCATTACGGAGAGTTAATTGTAAGATCTGGTGAAGTAAATGTAGCCCGTGACGATATATGATTTTCCCCGCAAATGTCGAACGGGTCAAAGTGCACCGACCTAGGTGGATCGTATAACGCTCTTTCTTCTCTTCTCTCCTCCCTGGCCCGTCAACGGGCTTCGCGCGCACGATCCGTGCACACGAGGTGCACCGACATTTTTCCGCGCAGTTATCTCTCTATTTTAACGGGGGAGGTAGAGGACGTTTATAAGGCCCAGTTTCACAACTCATAGTTACCTCTTAAGCGAGGTTCAACTTATTTCTCATCTTTTTCCAATTCCAGAATTGAAAAGAGATAATGAATAAGGTGAACCTCGGTTAAGAGTTAACCAGTCAGTTGAAACTGGACCTAAGTCTGATGAAATAACAGCGACCTGCGTCATGTTTAAATCGTAAATAAATCTCGTATTACCGGTGGACCGTCGCCCTGCGAATTGAACGTCGCGTCAAATGATCCCTGGGGAAGAGCCTAATGGAAAGAATCCGCACGTTTATCGCAATTTACTTAATTGAATTTTTTGCGGATAACCGAGGAACGAGAATCTTGCGACTTGTCGTGCTGAGTTCTTTCAATTATTGTCCTTGAACCTTGGCCGACGACACCGGCATTAACATCGACTGTACGAAAGTCGCTGTTGGCTATTAACGCCACAATTTCGTCGCTATTTAACAGATTTTGGATATTATCCGTTTCACAAGCATTTCATCTAAATTTGATAACGTCGTAAATGATATAGTTGAAGCGGAACATAAATTACCATGACATGAAAATGATGTTAAAATGGCTCCACAAAATGAGTACTAAAGCCCAGTTCTTTATGTACTGGTTAACTTGTTTAGACTTAGCTTCACTTAACTTGATGATGATGTAAAAATCGTTTTTCTAGCTATGATTAATCACTAAACTGACTTGTAGTGGTAACTTTAAAAGTTATACTCTTCACAAAACCATCAGTTTACTGATGAAACTAAAAAAAAACGCAATTTTTACATTATTACCAGATTAAGCTTAACTACAAATTAATGTGTAAAAGAAAAAAACCTTAAAGTCACTTTTTAATCAGTTTATTTTAACGTTTTATCTTGACATTATCCTTTATAGAAAATTAATACTGGCCAATACTGAAAGACAATAATTAATGATTTAATTACTTATTTTAAATATTAAAAGAACTATTGTTCAGTACTTTTTTAGTACTCCAAATAAGTAATGAATTACTGTCTTTCAATAATAAGTTGGCCAGTATTAGATTTCTACGAGGGATCGTGACTTATTGTTCTGCTTGGGAGGTCCCTCCTGAAGGGAATTTTCGTAATTCTCTACCTAAATTTCATCATTCACTTTGTGTGCACGTGCTCGTTGCCGTTCCGTATTTCCGTAAAATATCCGCGACAGATATTATTAATGTTTTCTGTTACGTTACGTATCTCTTCCAAAGATGGACGATAATCGATACGCGAGATGTGTAACTATGAGTAATCGGAATTTATCGGGTGATGAGCCAGCGGCACTACGCCGCACGACATGTCCGATTCGCGCCGACGTGGACAAGGCCGAGCGAATGCCCGTCGGCCGAATATAATCGGAGTTAAGTAAGAGTGAAAAGAGGATTCCGTCTCTCTAAACCGATCTAGACGCGGACACGAGCTCGCTCGTTCGCTCGTTCGCGCGGACCTTGAACCGAGACGCAAACGTGATCCATTGTTCTCTGCCGACGACCCTTCGTCCTCTCTCCGACCGAGCACTCCCGGCTCGAGATTGCTCGATTTTTAGTCGGGAGGCCCCATACCAGATCGGCCCCCGTGTCCTCCATTCTCGAGGACAGACGGAACGACGGGCGCCCGCCAGCGATTCACGAATATACCCGCGACTCATTGTTTTCTACGTGTCGAGCTAGCGATGCGCGTTAAGCCGGTTCTACATTATATAGTTGCAAGCCGATCGCAAGTTTGTTACGATAGTCAACATTTGAAGCTTGCATTTTGAAATCAACGCTTTATATTGGCTGTCGCGACAAACTTGCGATCAGCTCGCGTCTAATGTAGAATGGGCTTTAAAGAGCACACGGCGAACGCTTCGTTGTTTGACGTAATCGCGTAATTCGGACAAGGAGGGAGAAGGTTTCCCCATTTCGCGCGAGTGAGCGAGACGAGAATCGGGCGATTCGGCGACCAGCGAGGTCTACCTGACGATGAATTCGCTGGAAGGTGCGAGCGACTAATTTTGTTTCTCATCGCATGCCGAAAGCAACGACCCGTGCACATCGCCGCCGATCTCTCTTTCTCTCCCTTCAAGGCTGTCTCGAGACAACCAACCACCTTTTGCCACAAGCACCTGCCGACTGCTCGTGCTCTCGACTCACTCGTAAATACCTCGGTGTTATCGTACGTATGATTTTACAAACTGCCGCCTCTCTACAGCCGTCTCTTGCCTCGCCGCGA